GAAGGATTGCCCAGAGTTCAAGGCCAGCACGGGTTACACAGTGAGTTTGAGGCCAGCCTGAACTACCAAGCAAGACCATACCATGTTGCAACACCCTGTCCAAAACCAGAGAAATGTGTGTTAACACAGTTTGATAATGTAGGGAGAAAAGTAAGGAAAATATCTAGGTAGACACATGTGTATGATGAGCTATATTTAGGTTAATATTGCCAAAATGACATGCACTATAGTCATAATCTGACCCGTATAACCATCTATATAGGCAGTTTAATTTTTTCTCTGTTATTAGTAAGAGTCCACATTTTTGCATAAATATCTCTATGCCAATTGTTTTTAAAGAATGTGATGATACTAGATACAGCAGTAGTTCAATTTAATTTATGGACACGATGCAATAACCTGCATAATGTCCCTGACTGTTATGAGTAAGTGATGAATTCAGCAAAGATGTAACCCAATAGCTTCAGATCATCACTACTTTCTTGACCACTTCACTGTATTTTTTTACTGCTACAATTTCTTATGTGAAGATGTGCATGTGTATGACATAATACAATTTCAGCTGACATTTCAATTCTCTCTCTGAACTATACATAGCTTTTCTCCTTCATCCTTAGCAAATCTCAAACAATTCTCAATGGGAAGATTGCTATCTAATCCATAATTTGGTCCACGCATGTGGACTTCAGTAGTTTTTATTTAACATATAATAACTAAAGTGTGAGCTAGTTTTTTATATAATACAAAAGCCAAAACAGGGAAATCATATCTAGTTCTTAGTTTGATATAGCATGGAAAATCTACAGCTTTCACCTTCCAGAAAGTCTGTTCAGCCCTATGAAGATGGAGACTGTAACATGAAATGTAAGTTTGGTTTATAATAAAATATTTACTAGTCACACTTCTGACATCAGAAAATACACTAATATAGTATAGCATCCAACGAGGTGTCTCCATGCCTTCTGAGTTCTTTAAATGTAAAGTTAAACCGTTCAGGCATGCAGGCACTAGTCATGTCGGTACTATCTAAAACTCGATGGAAAACATCTAGTCTTTAGCTCTATTTCATCCAATTCTCAAGGCAAACACAAGGCTCACATCCTCATTTATGCTTATGATTGGGAAATGTGTCCTCATTTTGAACATATTTGGAGACAGCATTCTAAAAATCTACAGCAAGCTTATTCATGTGGATTTTATTCTTATGTTCTGTGTATTACTTTTTTTATTCTGTGTCTTGAAGAAGGCAAATGTCTTTTTTTCCATGTCCATCTCTGTAGATCTATGTGAGTTCTAGGCCAGCCTGGTCTACAGAATGAGTTCCAAGACAGCCAGAGTTTCAGAGGGAAACCCTGTCTCAAAAAAGGGGGAGTTCCAGAGAGATGGCTCAGCGGTCATTGACTGCTCTTCCAGAAGACCTTGGTTCAATTCCTAGTACCCACATGGCAGCTCACAACTGTCTGTAACTCCAAGATCTGACACCCTCACACAAGCACACACGCAGGCAAAATACCAATGCACATAAAATAAAAATAAAGTACACCCATTATTTGACTTAGTTCCCTATAGTACAGAACCCAGCTGGGTTCTAAACTATACATTAAATTGTATTTTGTTTCTATTTTCAGTACTGGAAATTGAACCCAGTATTCATTCAACTAAGGAAGTGTTCTACCACTGATCTGCCTTCCCCAGTCCAGGACTTGAACCTTCAACTCTCTGCCTGAGTTGCTGGTTTTACAGTCACATGCCACCATGTCTAGCTAAGTCTGTTCATTGTATTCTTGTGGATATTTTTAATCCCTTGGAATCAGTTTTGCAGATAGGAGACAAATAGGTCTACTTCGAGTCATAGTTTATTTATATAGTGTTTGCCGATGTTTTCAAATTTATGATGTCAATGAGAATATTCACATAGCAATAGGAAGGAAAACTTTAAGAGGATTACGGCTTGAGATGATCCCAGTCTGGATTGATTTTTAACTGGTTAAAAATTGTACAAAAAAGTAGGAGCTAGAGCTAAGTTGGTAGAGTGCTTGCCTTGCACGTACTGGGTTCCGCGTTCAACCTCTAACACCACAAATAGGTTGGAGCTATGGTGCACATCGCGGCATTCAGAAAACAGGCTAGAGGATTAGGATTTCAAGGTCATTCTCAGCTACATAGCGAGCTTGCCAGAGGCCAGCCTGGACTACACAAGAATCTGTCTTAAAAAAAAAAGTAGATTACCCAAATCTGTATATACAGCCTTTTATTTGACTAAGTTTTCAATGGAGATGTTAACTGAGACTGTTAGCATCCAGCCTTTTATATTTATTATTGGGATTGTATTTAGAGACTTTCTCAGTTTCATCCTTGATGGAGTCCATGCCATCTCTCAAGACTACATCACAGAGCTGACAAGAAAGCCATTGTGGAAACAGTCTGTGCTGAGTCTGGGCTTGAGGTACAAAATCACTGGTCTGTTTCCCATGGAGAGAGTACCTCTTCAGTCACAACTCAGATTTACCAAGAGCAAGCCTGTGTGTGTCCCCAATGCCCTTCTTAACTAGAACCTGGGGGGCTGTCACCGCCCCTTGCTTCTCTCTGAGGCAGATCTAGAAGTGGGAGAAAGGGGAACAGATCATTGGAATCAAACAGATGAAACATCCATGTCTGTCTCTGACATTAAAATTTTATGTAATGTGTCTCTTCCTTAAAAGTACATCTGATTCTTGATTTGGTTCCCTATAATATAGACCCCAACAGGCTTCCAAACTATACAGGGAGATATGGCAGGGCTCGGAATGGGATCCTGGGTCAGAGAGCTGGGGTGAAATAGCAGCATCTTCTTCTCAGCATAGATCCCTGGGGAGGAAAGTTTTCCCTTACCCCCAAATTCCTGGATTTGTTTTCCAAACGAACGGTGAGTGTGAATCAGCTGTGGGGCTTTCCTGAGGACATTCAGACTTGGAGGATCTCCTGGTATCTCCCAAGGCTGGGATGCTTCAAAACTAAAACCTGTGAATGAAAATACTCAAATACATCTCACGGCTATTAACAGTGCAATGTGAAGAGACTGGCAAACAACAACAGAAAGGTTTGTTTCATAGCCAAAAGCATTAGAAGGAGACAAAAATGCTTTCGGATAATCAGTGCACCTGACAGAACTGGTGGCAGAATTTAGTGCCATTTCCAGGTGTGTTGATACTTGTAACTGTTACAATGTTACATACCTCCTCAAGGCCTGATGCTGTTTGTGGAGATTTCACAGGGAGAGGAGAGACAGGAAAAGTTTAGGCATCTCTTAGTTACTTTTCTATTGCGGTGAAGAGACACTCTGACCAAGGCAACTTATAGAAGAAAGAATTTATTTGGGGCTTACAGTTTCTGAGGGTTAGAATTCATGACCATCCATGACCAGAAGCATAGCAGCAGGCAGGCAGGCAGGCACTGCAGCAGTAGCTGAGAGCTCACATGTTGATCTGCAAGTAAGAGGCAGAAAATATCTTTTGAAACCTCAAAGCCCATACCCAGTGGCCTCCTCCAACCAGGCCACACCTCCTCATCCTTTTCAAACAGTTCCATCAACTGAGGACCAAGTATTCAAATGTATGAGCCTATGGGGACCATTCTCATTCAAACCACAGCAGCAGCTTTCTGGTAAGCTTGCTAATTAGCAGAGCACAGCCAAAGCAGCTGAAAATGGGGGCGCTGTACCCAGCCCCACAGGGAGCCAGACATAAAAGGAAGAGTTACGTTTTCAGACAGTGATTGAGGGAGAAGCCTGGCAATCAGTGAGGATAGAAATGAACTTCAGATAGCATGGGGGATGGAAAACTTTTGAACAGGGTCTGGCTGCCCAGTGTGTTTGGAAGTCAATGCTATGGCAGTAGGATTTTTTGCAAAACAAAAAAGCTTTATCGCATACTAACAGCCAAAGAGATCTGGGACCATAAAGTCAAATCCACCTCTGAGATCAATTGGTAGCTGGGTAATTCATAAGAACAGGGAAGGTGAAGTTGCTTGTTGGTTGGGTGACCTGTCTTTAGACAGGACATTGTTTTATGAAGGTGGTAGGAACTAAGTTCTGCGTGGGAGTTTTTGAAGTTGGGATATCATTGGCCACACTGGTTTTTTTCTGCTCCTTTCCAATCTCTCTCCTCTCTCTCTCTTTCTCTCTCTCTCTCTCTCTCTCTCTCTCTCTCTCTCTCTCTCTCTCTCTCTCTCTCCCCCCACCACTTTGCTACATTCCCCCCAATGACGTCACTATGTGTGTAGCTAGGCTCAAGATGAGCCTGGCTCTGCCTCCTAAGTACTGGAATTGCTGTACTCATCACACCCATCTACACAGGAAGTGTATGCCTGTGTTCAAGCTTTAACCAATTTCAATGCCCTTCTTGTCATCGTTGAGTCCTACGTCATAAAGAAGTGGTGACTGGCTACGTTCTGCTGGTTCAGGTAGTTATGAGTCTGTTTTGGGTTGAGGGAATGGGTCCCTCAGATAGGGTAACAATCATTAAGGGAAAGCAACCATTTGTCTGGTCAATCCAAACAGATAGGTATTGCCTAGACTAAAAATTATTGCAGAGGCAGAGCGTAGAAAGGTTAACCCAGCCTGGTATCAATCAACTGAAGATAGGAAGAGGAACCAGTCCAAGAAGCCAGGGGGTGGGCCTATTAGTGACTCTTTCAAATCTTAGCTTCCTCTAGGGGCTGGAGAGATTGCTCAGTGGCTTTTCCAGAGGACCATGGTTTGATTTCTAGCACTCACATGGCATCTCAAAATTGCCTGTAACTCCAGTTCCAGAGGATCTGCCTTCTATAGGCACCAGGCACTCACATGGTACATGCAAAGCACACATACATAAAATGAAACTTTTTAAAAATCTTGACAACTTCTAACCTCACGTGTTGAGATATATTATTTTTATTAAGAAATGTTTTATTCATTTTATGTACCAATCACAGATCCCCCTCTATTCCCTCCTCCAGCTTCTCCCTCCCCCAGCCTTCCTCCCCCAATGTACCCCACATTCCCTCCTCTGAAAAGGTAAGGCCTCCCATGGGGAGTCAGTACCTCCCATGGTACATTCAGTTGAGGCAGGTCCAAGCCTCTCCCCCTGCATCAAGGCTGTGCAAGGTGTCCCACCATAGGTAATGGTTTCCAAAAAGCCAGCTCATGCACCAGGGATAGATCCTGATCCTACTGCCAGGGGGCCCCTTAAGCAGACCAAGCTGCACAACTGTCTTGATTATGCAGAGGGCCTAGTTCAGTCCCATGGAGGCTCCACAGCTGTTGGTCTAAAGTTCACGATTCCTACTAGCTTGGTTTGGCTGTCTTTGTAGGTTTCCCCATCATGATCTTGACCTCCTTGCTCATAGAATCCCTCTTCTCTCTCTTCAGCTGGACTCCTGGAGCTCAGCCCGGTGCTTGGCTGTGGATCTCTGCATCTTCTTCCATCAGTTACTGGATGAAGGCTCTATGATGACAGTTAGGGTATTCACTGATTTGATTACTGGGGTAAGCCAGTTCAGGCACCCTTTCTACTATTGCTAATAATCTAAGCTGGGGTCATCCTTGTGGATTCCTGAGAACTTCCCTAGCACCAGGTTTCTCCCTATCCCCACGATGTCTCCCTCTATCAAGTTATCTCTTTCATTGCTGTTGATATATATTATGCAACCACCTGTCTTTTCTATAGCACAGACTTCCTCTTGTGAGGCAAGTAAAAAGTCTAGGATAATTCTATTATCCTGAGATACCTGGGCCTGAAGTTCCATCGTGGTCCTGCAGGCCTCTTCAGTTGGGACATTGTGCTAACTCCATATTGGAACTCATTTCTGTCATTTGTTTGGGTTCTAACAGGAGGTGATAGTTAAAAACCCTCCAGCAAAGATGACTGTAGGAATGTGATCTTCCTTGTTCTTATTTTTCCTGGAAAATAACTGAAGATAAATGAGTAATTGACAAGAATATTTAAGGAGACACAGAATATTTAAGGAGAACACCTACCTGGTATGCACAAGACCTGAGTCTAATCCCCAGTACTGTTCAAAAAGAAATGAAGAGGTGAGAAGGATATATAGAGAGGGAGGGAGGGAGAGAGGGGGAGGGAGGGAGGGAGAGAGAGAGAGGGAGGGAGGGAGGGAGGGAGGGAGGGAGAGTCAATAAAATGCATGTGAGACAAATGACATGGAGGAAACGGCAAGAGAAAAATTCCTCTGACTGGACTCTGCTGTGCATGATACTCATTCCTGCAATCCAGCACTCAGGAGGTTGAATCAGGAGAGAGCCAGCCTAGACTAGAGAGTTCCAGGCCAGCCTGGGCTACAGCGTGGGGTCTTTCCTCCCCAAAATATTTAGAAGTGAGGTAACTTTCTGGTTTCCACAGCCATGCGATATTGGCCAAGGTGTGTAGTACAGCTGGTGTGATATGCTCCTGTACAGGTTCCTCCTGGCTCTGCCGGGAGGTCCTTAGAAGTAGCCTGCGGATCAAGAACTACATGGTAGCTGCCGACATTGGCTCAGTGGGAAGAAGCATTTACTGTGCTCTGCTGATGACCTAAACTGGATCTGTAGAGTCCATGATGGAAGAGGAGAACCAACTCCTGAAAGTGACCCTCTGGCCTCCCCACACATGCTCCAAATGTACACATACACCTGTGCATGTGGACGGACACACACACACACACACACACACACACACACACACACACACACGCACGCACCTAATAATGAACAAAAAAAATTTAAGTACATGGACAAGAGTAGGCTTTGAAAAACAAAGCAAGGATTATATCAGATACTTAGTAATAATACTTGGCCATAATAGCTAATAATGACTGGGAGCATGAAAAGTTGAACAGTTATTGGTCTGTGTACTTGCAGGCTTACTTTCTGTGAAAATACCTGTGAAGATGTGGAGTGTGCAAGAGTCTTTTGTGGTAGTTGTCTTATTAAGCAATCGTGTACAAGATCACTTCATAATTTCCCAGCTTCATGTCCTTTTTGCCCACGTTAACACAAGTGGCTCCATCTTAATTCTGACAGTGGTCACATTTCGTTACCCATCTTTCTTGTTGTCTGAAAACATTGCTGGGGTTTGACTGTTCCTCATTTCCTGGGTGGATCTGACTGATAAATCTTTACACCCTGAAGGCCTCTCCACCGAAGCCCAGGTTTAATGGGTAAAGCAAGACCGAAAGAATCACATGTCTGTTTCCTGGAATGCAGCTTATATACTCTGAGGGAGTGGTCTTGAGCCTCTCTTGGGGAGGAGCTGTGTGTGGCGGGCTTTGAAGGGGCAGGTTTGGGGAAAGAGATGGGGGAGGGGAGTTGATGTAGATCTTCCACCAGAACATTCCAGACTCTTTGGGTGTAGGGATGCCAGGGTGCCAGGGGTTGAGGTGGAGCTCCCACCCAAACACTGACCTGGTGGTAAGTCTGATCCAGTTCCACAATGAAGGGAAAGTCATTGATCCTTTGGAGTCATTGCTTATGGTTTGAGTGAGAAATGGTTCAGGCATTGAACCCGGGGTCCCAGTTGGTGGTGCTGTTTAGAGAGATTATCTGGAGGTGTGCCTTGCTGGAAGAAGTATTTAAACCCCCTAGGGGCGGGCCTTGGGGGTTTAAAGCCTCACCCCACTTCCAGTTCACTCTGCTTCATACTTGCTGGTGGATAAGATCTTTCTGCTTCCTGCTGCTGTCGACCTGCCCCCCACTTAGTGCCCTGTTTCATCTCTGTCGTGATGGACTCTTAGCCCTCTAGAGCTGAAAGCCATAATAACCTGTGTCTTCCTTAAGTGGCCTTTAGTCACAGTGTTTAATCACAGCAAGAGAAAAGTAACCAATGCAGCACCATAGCCCTCTCAGCCACATTTGGACACCCGGGCTTTAGGAGAATGGTCTCAAGCTCAGCTCACCTGGAGTCTATTGTTTGGTTGGTTGGTTGGTTGTTTTTTTGTTTTGTTTTGTTTTGGGGGGGTTGTTTTGTTGGTTTGGTGTTTGTTTGTTTGGTTGGTTGGTTGTTCTTTGTTTGTTTGTTTTTTGTCTTGTTTTGTTTTGTTTTGGGGGGGTCATTTTGTTGGTTTGGTGTTTGGTTGGTTGGTTGGTTTGGTTTGGTTTTTTTTCTGTGTTTGGTTTCTCTGTGTAGCCCTGGCTCTCCTGGAACTTGCTCTGTAGACCAGGCTGGCCTCAAACTCAGAGATCTGCCTCTGTCTTCACAGTGTTGGGATTAAAGGTGTGTGCCACCACTGCCACCCAGCACCTGGAGTCCATCGTTAAGTTCAGTTTTATATTTTCTGTAGAGGAACGCTGTCATCTTGAAGCACTGAGCCACCACCTCTTATTATTTGTTCTTAGGAAATGTACACATTTTGACAGGCAACAGGTGTGAAGTTTTAGATGGAAGATATAAAACAAAATTAATAAAAGTGCAACAAATCCACTTTGTGTAATTCTCAAACCAAGAAGCATGATTTCCCAAAGTCCTACCAGTCTTTACCAAAGACAGTAAACTGATTTACTTGTTAGCCGAGTTTTTAAATTATTTTCTTACTAGGTGACAGAAGTCGGGGTGCATGGCCACAGCACTCACATGGCGGCCAGGGGACAGCTTGTGCGAGCATTCTTCTCTTTCAGCACGTGGGTCCAGAGATGGCAGTCAGGTCGTCAGGCCTGACTGCAGGTGCCTTCACCTGCTGAGCCATCTTGCTGTCCAAACTGGGTTTAGTTTCGTCAGAAAACGCCCATAAGTTTGCTCACAAATGCATTGGAAACAAAGCAAAACTGAGAGCTCAGACATAGGGACCATGCTCAAACTGAGATGGAAGTTCAGCCTAGCCACCGGCGGAAGAAATTACTTTCTTTCTTGTTTGTTTGATCATTTGGTTGGTTTTGGGATTTAGCTTTGTTTTGTTTTTGTTTTGTTTTTTGCTGTTGTTTTGTTTTGGTTTGTTTTTTTTTTGAGACAGGGTTTCTCTGTGTAGTCCTGGCTATCCTGGAACTAACTAGCTCTGTAGACCAGGTTGGCCTCAAACTCACAGAGATCTACCTGCCTCTGCCTCCCAAATGCTGGGATTAAAGGTGTGGGGAGAGATGGCTCGGAGATTAAGAGCGCTTGTTGCTCTTCCAGAAGACCCTGGTTTGTTTTCCAGCACTACATGGTGGCTAACAACCTCTAAGTCTAGTTCCAGGAGATTCAGTAGGTACTGGGAACTAAAGTTGGATCCTGGGAAAGGTAGTGTGTGTTCTTATCTGCTGAGCTGGCTCTCCAGACAATTTTACACCCTAAAGAAATAAAGCCAACTATAACTTCTGTGCCATCTCCCCAGATAGATGACCTCACACTGTCAGAAAAGGACAGTGGGTAGAAGGCAGGCCCCCAGCATCCTGCAGCTTCAATCCCACAGCTTCAAGCCCAACCCTTCCCCTCGCTTGCATCACGAGAACTGGGGAAGGTGTCCATCCACTCACAGAATTGGTCCTGGGGCTACTATCACAGCATCACAGCTTCACCCATACCTGTCCCCTGGGAGCTGGGAATGTGGCTGATGATCCCACCACCATCTCTACTTCCCTGGAGACAAATAAAGGAGGTTTCCTTCTTAGCCCAGAAGTGGTAGGTAGCTACTGAAGCGAAGTGCTGGCATCCCCTGTGCGGTGCCCTGGGAACTGCAGAAGGTCCAGTTAGTGTCTTACCTCTCCAAGAATGAGGCTACCAGCAGCTCTAGCCTCAGCACCACCAGCACTCCCATGGCAGAATTAGGGACAGTCTTCTTCCCAAGCCGTGGTCTTCAAACTGCATCTGCTAGCATCGCATAAGCCTGCCTGGGGAACCAGAGGACGGTCTCATATGTGTTTTTCAACTCCAGCACTGTAGTAATCTATGCTACAATCCATATCTCAGTGAGAGTCACCCTCCTGTGACCTAGGAACAGTCCCATCCACGCCCAGCAACACCAGAACCACACATACCAAACACATGCCCAGAGCTAAAACATCCAAGGGAGAGATGACAGACAGTCTCATCAACAAAAAGTTCCGGCAAAACTGAACTAAATGTGCAGGAAAGTGACACGACTCTGCTTGCCCCCCCCCCACAAAACCTATTAAAAATAAATCAAAGACATAAATATGAAACTTTAAACTATGAAATTACTACAAGATAGGGGGCTGGAGAGATGGCTCAGTGGTTAAGAGCACTGGCAGCTCTTCCAGAGGTCCTGAGTTCAATTCCCAGCTTCCACATGGTGACTCAGAACCATCTGTAATGGGATCCGATGCCCTCTTCTGGTGTGCAGATGCATATGTAGACAGAGCCCTCATATACATAAACTACATAAATAAATCTTTAAAATAAAAGAGAAATTACTACAAGACAACATGCAGGAAGCGCTTTAAGGTGTCAGTGTCAGACAATGAGTTTTTAAACCAGTACCCCCAAAGGCACGGACTTTTTACAAAAGTAAAATCAGACAAATGGGATTATATCAAACTAAGATGTGTGTGCACAGCAAAATACTAACAGCATTAAGAGGTAAGCTACAGTGGGCTGGAGAGATGGCTCAGTGTGGTTAACAGCACGGGATGCCCTTCCAGAGGACACTGGGTTCGTTCCTAGAACACACACCATAGGGTGGCTTACAGACATCTCTAACTCTAGTCCTAGGGGATTCTCGTCTGGCCTCCCTGGGCACTAGGTACATAAGTCCACAGACATACATGCAAGTAAAACATACATATAAAGTCAATACATATTTTTTAAAAGAGATTAAGCTATAGACTGAGAGAAAATATTTGCAAACTCATCATTTGACAAAGGATTAATGTCCAGCCTGTATGAAGAACTCAAAAAGCTGAGCACCCAAGAAACAAATACAAAAAAAAAAATGGACTAAAGAAGTAGACACTTCTCACAAGAAGACACAAATGGCTAACAGGCACATGGGGGTGGGGTGGTGTCAATGTCACTAACTGGTGAATAATGCATAATGGGATATCATCTCCACTCCCCAACCCCCATCCCTACCCCAGTCAGGATGGCTAGAATCAAAAGAGAACAGGCAACAAATACTGGTAAAGATGTGGAGATATGAGAACTCACTGTTGGTGGGAATGTGAATTAGTATAGGGACTATGGAAAACAGTATGGATATTCCTTTTTAAAGATTTATTTATTTTTATTTCATTTGCATTGGTGTTTTGCCTGCATGTATGTTTATGTGAGGGTGTTGGATCCCCTGGAACTGGAGTTACAGGCAGTAACCATGCTGCCAGGTGGGTGCTGGGAATTGAACCTGGGTTCTTTGGAAGAGTAGTCAGTGCTCTTAACCGCTGAGCCATCTCTCCAGCACCTAGTATGGATATTTCTAAAAGAAAGAATGGAAGAGTGAAAGAGAGAGAGAGAGAGAGAAAAAAAGAGAGAGAGAGAAAGAGGGGATGGTGGAGGGAGGGAGGGAGAGAGGGAGAAAGGAAGGGAGGAAGGAAGGAAGGAAGGAAGGAAGGAAGGAAGGAAGGAAGGAAGGAAGGAAGGAAGGAAGTCCATCCAACCCATCAGCAGGTCTATCACTAAGAACCTATCCTGCAGCATCACTCAGAGAAGCTAAAACACAGGATCAACCTAGATGCCCAGCAATGAACTAAGGGATAGAGAAAAGATGATGTGAACATGCAATGGACTGTTAGTCAGCCATCAACAAAATGAAATCCTGTCTTTTGCAGCAGCATGGACAGAAATGGAGGTCACTGTGCTAAGTGAAATAAGCCAGGCATAGACAAGTGAGTATCACATGCTCTCATTGGTTCGTAGAAACTAGTCAGTCTCATAGAAGAAAGAAATGGTACTCCCTAGAGCCTGGGAAAAGCAAGGAGTAAGGAGCTGGAAAGAAATTCTTTAAGGCTGTGGGTCTCAACCTTGCTAATGCTGCAACTCTTTAATACAGTTCCTCATGTTGTGGTGACCCCCAACCATAAAATTATATTTGTTGCTACTTCATAACTGTAATTTTGCTACTGTTTTGAATCACAATGTAAATATCTGTGCTTTCTGATGGTCTTAGGTGACCCCTGTGAAAGGGTCATCCGACCCCAGAGGAGTCTTGACCCACAGGTTGAGAACGACTGTTTTAGGGTGTGTCAGCACAGAGGGGAGGAATTGGTTCAGTTTTTGTTGTTGTTTTGTTTTTGCTTTTTTCATAGCACGCAGCGTAAGTATTGATTTAAAGAATTTATGGTATATTACAAAATGACAAAATTTCAGCACATAAAAATGATTAATGTTTAAGGAAATGCTCATTGCCCTGATTGGATTATTACCCACTGTATACATGTATCAGATTACCATAATGTAACCCATAAAGAGGAACAGAAATCTGTCTCAATAAAACATAAATGGGTATAATTAGATCTGAAGTTCTGACTCTCGTTTAAGGAAACTATCCTTTCCCAAACGGTGGAAGTTAGGCAAGTCAGTGTGTTCAATTACAATATGTGAGGGGTATGCTTAATTTAATTCCATATTTGTAGCCTTTAATTTTTAGACTTAGAAAACTAGATCTAAAACAAACTTAAAACATATAAACATAGCTAAATTCAATTTATCAAATAAGGATATAATGTCTGCAGTTTAGCAAACAGTGAGATAATGTCTGCAGTAGGGGGTGTAAGATTCAGTGAAGGCTCAAAGATGAATGAAATCCTTCAAAGAACTTCATGCCCCAAATGAGAGAAAACGAGTGCACAGATGGACAGAATCCAAGAGGAAGGCCTGCTGAAGGCAGCACCAGATGCGAACAAAATTCCCCAACCGAAACAAGAGAAGGAGAAATGGCTTCAGGCAATAACCTTAGCTGTTTTAGTTGACAAATGGGTATTCTGCTTGGAAGAACCATCCACAGACTCCACCTTCAGGATTCAGAAGATAATTCAACCATTACCCAGAGGGGGCAGTTCAAGAAAGACTGGTTCCCAAGAAGCAGCAAGAATGTCAGCAGGAATGCAAATCCAGGGACTGGGGCATAGCTCGGTTGGTAGGGTACATGCCCAGCTTGTACAAGGCTCAGGATTCTAGTCCCTCCCCAGGGCCACATAAAGCCAGGCACCATGGAGCAGGCCTCTAATCCTAGCACTGGGTGGGGGGGTAGAGGCAGGAGATTCAGAAGTTCAAAGTCATCCTCAGCTCCATAGTGAGTTTGAGGATAGCCTGGGCTACATGAGAGCTTGCTCAAAGAAGAGAAGGCCAGAGACAGGCAAATCCATAGGTCCAATCCTCAAGACCTCCTAAATTAGAAATTCAGAGGCCTAATGGCCTGTGTCTTAGTAAATCTCCCAAGTGTGATAATGCACTTAAGCTTTGCAATTGCTTATTTCAACCAGCGTAAGATGGAAAGTCCATGAAAAGTAACTGGAAGCTAACCTAACACATTTCTCACAAGTTACTTTGGGAATGGAAAACAGAGAACCTCCTTGGCTGAAATGTCCCCTTAACTAAGACAATGGAACTGGCTGCTGATGAGAAGAGGGCAGCAATAGTCTAAATCAAAGAATGATTTCTACGAGCACAATGTGCAGTTACATAGACAGCCCTTTTATAGTCTTTAATGCCAACCAAGATTACATTTTTGAATTATAAACCACGTATTTCATTTCTTGTTATTTCTTCTTTCCCTTCACTTTACATATAAAAAGTCACGTACTTGACATGTTAGTGGCACTTGCTTCATAAAGTGGAATAATGGCTTTGTAGCAACATCTGTTTTCTTTAAAGGAATTCTCAGCCAATTCATCTAACTCAGCGTCACTGGATAATTAATAGCTAAGACTCACAGGGCACACGTTAATGCCACCACTAAGAGTGGAAACCGCACGCATGTCCCACGCTGCAGAACTGTGGTAGAACTGTGACAAGAAAGAACCAATAGGAGCCTCTAGTTTGCTCAATAGCTTTTAAAACCACCCAAGGGAGCTCAGAAGCCAGGGCATCTCCAGAGCACAAACAAAAACTTCGATTTTGTAGATACTTGGCCCAACCCAGACACTTCGCTTCATCTGGTGTCATCCAGGCCCACATTAGTCTCCCTTTCCAATGAAATCTTTCTTGCCCATGAGCTATCTCAGGCCTGTTTTCTAGATCAATGCACAGCTGAGCAAAACTGCTTTGAGAAACAGCTTATTTCTGAGATTGGAAACAACAAAAACCTCAGGGAATTACCAGGCTTAGTTGTTTTGGTTTTTGTTTTCCAGTGAACAGGTCCCTCTTTCTGCCCGTAGGCTAAACTACTCAATCACCACTGGCTAGAGGTTCTTAAGAAGAACCCCAGTAAATGACAAAAGGTGTTAGGCTATCTGGGCCATATCACATACACACACACCTCCAAAAGGTCCCCAGAATCCTGAGAGATCAACAGAATGGTCTGTGACTAGATAAACCATAACCATCAATTCTGGTTGATAAATTTAACATGTTAGGGTTAGAGATCTTGAGAGCATTAGTCAGACCCTCTTGTTAAACAGAGCATAAACCAGCATGCTGGACCAGGGAAGCAGTCACACAATCCGGGATGCCCTGAGAGCAAGCATCTTAATGGAAACCCAGTCGCCAAGAAAAGGAGACGAGGTCAACAGAGATGAGGAAAGACTCGAGAAGTCAATCAGAGGTTTGGTCTGACACTACCAAGGGACTGGGAACGGTGACTCTCAACTTCTTATGTGAAGGAAAATTGTCAGCTGTACTTATTTAAATACAGAATCTTGAGTTATGTCCTTACAGCGGCTCACTGGCCTCAGGGGTGAGGCCAGGGCTAGCTTCAGGATAACCACGTCCCCAGTGA